TGCAGCTGAGCTGGCACTGGCAGCTGCTGGTAATAAGTTAACTGAAGCTAAAGCAAACTATTCTTGCCCTTTTCGCCCTATCAGTATGCCTTCTATAGCATATGCGCAGACAAGAACATCATGTGTGGTGAAAATAATAGCAAATTTGCATGTTTTTGTCCCAAACATATGCGAAGGTCAGAGCTTTTTCTCTCCTGCTACAAATTGCTAAGTTGCTATGTTGATTTGTTGTTAAAAGCAAGTTCCACTGTCATGTTAGCAGAGCAAGAAAGAGACCTTTTTCTTCAGAAATTTCAGAAGTACTTGGTATCAGGGAATCCTAGATCATCAGTTGATCATCCAGCATCAGCTGATCTCAAGGCCACTACAGTTTGCAGAAACTTGGGTAAAGTGGCTTATACTTTTATCCAATTTTGTGGTTATGTTTATGACTTTATTCATTATACTTCATGTGTAAACCTCTTTTTTGTGGGTTTTGCAGGATCTTTGTCTGAGTATGCTAGATCGTTAATTCCTAATAACTTGTTAAACGAGGAAGATGTGCAATTGTTAAGGTAGTTAAGCGTTTTTGACTTGTCATGTTTCTTAGTGTACAAACTGTGTTACAAATTTTTTGTTTAATGCCTAATTTTGTGGGTCAACATTTGGTTTTAATTTGTTGCGCGCTGCATATAGTTTTGAAACACTTTTACTGATATTTCTGCAAAATGTGTTTTTTTCCTATTTGCAGTGAATTTGCTTATAAGTTACAAACTTGGTGTAAATCACATGTTGGACAGAGTACATCCCAGGTTTGTTTGCTTTTCACAGTAATTATAGAATCATAGTAGCCACCTACATATCCAAGCATTTTGCTTAGGGTGCTTGGTTCCCTGCTCCTCCTTGAGGGATAACTACAAATTTCATTTCCAACAAAATAATGGTTCAACTGTTCAAGTACATCACTTGCACTCTGTCTCTGTGCAAGCTTTTTTAATGAACAATATTCAATACTATAGCCAATTTTTTTGTATGGTAGGTGATAGGTGCAACTTGTGTATAAATTAGAAAAATAGCTTTGACCCTTGCATCAGATGGTCAATTCATACTTCTAGCAATCTAGTTGAAATCGAAATGTTGGACGTGACCTCATTCTGGGATGTTTTAGGCAGTAAAGATTGATCCGTCATCAGAAAGCAAGGAAGACTTTAAGCCACTGCAGCATCCCTTGATACCAAGTACTGTTGTTCCAGATTCCAGTATAAATAACCTTCCGAAGGTAGGTTTGTTCAGTTGTTCACTATGTTGAGTATAATATATTAGCCATTGACTTGGTAATTCATCTGATCCCAACAAAAATGATGTGCAGAACATGGAAGAGCCTACACCAACAAACATGGAAGAGCCTGCACCAACACCCTCAACAAAGCAAGAGGGAAATGCCAGGGATGAGACTCCTAGAAGCACTGTCGCTTTAAATGGTGGGTTCCTGCAGAATTCAGTCGGCCAGGACTTAGTCCATCTTGGTGTGGCGAGAACTAGTTCAGGCTTTCTAGGGGGAGGTACCAGTACAAGTACAGGATCCCTGCGCTGCAAAATGGATCTTGATCCTGCATCCAGCAGTATGGACCATTTCAAAACACCAGATAGAAAAGAAAGTGGTCTTCAGGATGATGAGAAAGGAGACACTCACATGTATGATGAGAGACAACCTAAGAGAAGGAAGCGAACCATTATGAATGATAGGCAAATAAACGAAATCGAGAAGGCTCTTATTGATGAGCCTGAGATGCATAAGAATGCTGCTTTACTGCAGGCATGGTCAGAGAAGTTAAGTGGGCAGGTATAGTCCTTCACCTGGCCATTCTTCTGTTAGATCAAAATATTTTATATACTTCTCATTCATGAAAATGTGTTTTCAGGGCTCGGAGATTACGTCATCTCAGCTAAAGAATTGGTAACACTGAAGCTATCTTTGTTATTCTTTTTCCTTAGCAATTTAGCATTACTTGTATGGGAACATATCCTGTGCACACAAGCCTTCTCATCTACACAGCGTGCAGACCAACTAACAAATTTCACAAAAATATCTAGAAAAAATTGTACAAGTATTTCCAATAGTATTACACTTATGTATAAAGTCTTAACTTCAAATTCATTATATCTTAGCTGTAACCAAAAAAAAAAAAAATCTAACAGTTTTGAGAGTATAAATCTGTTAGAAATTTGTCTTTTTTGTTGCTACCTATATATAATGAATTTGAAGATGAGACTTTACACATAGATGCAATACTACTAGAAGTACATGTGCAATGTTTTGTAGAATTTTTGGTGATATGTTTTAGTTGGTGTGCACGGTGTGTATACGAGAGGACTTGTGTGCAGAGCATAAGTTTCCTGCTTGTATACCATAACTGACGTTTTGTTCATCAAGTTCATACTTCACTTCTGTACTGTTTTTACTTCTCAGTCCATAGCTTACTTATGACAAACCTTCTTTAAATTCTAGGCTGAACAACAGAAAAGCTAAGCTTGCTCGTATTGCGAAAGAAAGAGGAGTACTATCTGAGGGTGAGAACGCAGATAAGCCATCTACGCCAGCTACTCCCCACCACTGTGACTCCTCAGAAAGTGCTGGCGAGGAGAGCTACTTGCCACCTGCGAGGGTCATGAGTGCTCTAGGCATATCCAAGGGCAGCAGATTTGTGAGCCCAGATGGCAATGAGACAACATCACAGGCAGAATTCAATCAAAATATCATGCTTAGCCGCCCTTTCACAAGATCATTCTCATTTGAACCTGGCCGTCTTGTTTCGCTCATTGATAATGATGGGAAGGAGGTTGGCAGGGGAAAGATCTTCCAAGTTGAGGGGAGACTGCAAGGGAAGGCCCTGACAGATACTCGCGTTTGCATCGTTGATGTTATTGAGCTCAAGATTGAGAAATGGCGGGAGCTACCTCATCCCTCGGAAGCATCAGGAAGAACATTCCAAGAGGCAGAATCAAGGAACGGTGGTGTGATGAGGGTCGCGTGGGATGTCATCAGACTATCTCCAGTGGTTCAGTAAGTCGAACTTTTCTTTGCAATGCGTAGAAAGACGCTGTGACACCAAGAAAGTACAAGAAGTAAAAAGAAGTTTAATTTAGGATCAGAAAATCGTGAATCTTCCGGAGCAGTTTGTACTAAGTCGCCGCCCTGACTGATGACTGTTGTATCCATCGATCGAATGCTGGACTTGTTTAGGATGAAGTACATCCTAATTTACAAAATTATGTTATTCTGCTTATGCTAGGTGCAACAAATTCAAGTAGCTGGTGTTGACCATGAGATTTTTTTTTTCAGTATTCATAGACCTCACTTGTTAGCTGTCGCTATATGCTAAGGACAAAGGTTTCTTAAGATGGACAAAGGTTCATATGCTAAGGACAAAGGTTTCTTAAGGACAAATGTTTCTTGCCAAGGACCTCACTTGTTATGTGTTGGTGGTTGCTCAGGAGCGGCAACATGTACACCACAGAATATTTCAGATCCTTTGTCCATTGAGATATTAGAAAACATTAAGATGGAATTCTTCATCAGGGATTGCAACCTCGCATGATCAGGAAACCGCTCTTCCTACTCCTGCCACGCCCTTAATTTAGCACACGTCACTTCAGTATGCCAAATCTCTGTTAGGTAGATCTTAGATTTTTCTCGGTTAGTCCAAAGTTTTTCTGTTTCAGATAATTGCATTAGTGCATGATGCAGCTACAATGCATGCATTGTCCCTGTTCGCCCCAGATGCAGTGGCAGCGTGCTAGCTCCTCTGGCTTGATAAAAACTGGTGACAATAAGGTCTTGAACATCCTTTGTCTGGGCGTACAACTCACTCGTTGGACTGCGCCACATCCAGGACACACTTCTGACCATACAGCTACTGTCACGTGTTTTTTTTATTTCAGCCCCTACTTATTTTTTGTCCGCCTCTATAAGATTTTTTATTATAAAATCAAGTGTAACTTTTATATTGTAAACCTTGAGAAAGAGATAGAACTACACATATACCCTCAACATCTCAGTGGACCCACTTGTCAGCCTACATATATCTTTCCCCACCCTCCATCCGAATCCTCGAGCTCAAATCCGCACACCGCCGCCTCTGACCGCATCCACGCTCCGGTGTCCACCTCTAATCGTTTATACTTCGATACTGCTATAGGCATCAAGCTGGTAGTATGGCACTCGGTGCCCACTAGGGGAGTTGCCAAATTTAGCGATAAGCTGGCCATTATCGCCATCGATGTGATCGCACACACTTAGTAGATCGCTACTTTCCTCTCCGGTGGTTTCTTAACGTTCCATCTTTCCTCGTCTCCGGTGGTTGTCGTGCTCATCCTCCCCTCCCTAATCCCGGTAGATCTCGGCGTTTCACTTGACAAGGCTATTGCCCAACAAAGACAACGTCAGTCGTCACAGCATAGCTGAGCTGCTGAACACTGCGCTTTGACGTGGTACGGCAAAGGCACTTGCCATGTTGTGGCGTTGTGCACATCCTTAGTATTACTAGAAGTTGCTCTTTCTGTAATGAAAGATTTAGGTATGCAAAACGATATGAACTCTTAAACTATTATAAATTGAACTTAAAAAATCATGTCCAAACCAAAGTGTTCATGACACTAAAGAAAGCTGAAAACAACAAAACTCCAAGTTAGAGCACCCGCAATGGTAAAGTAAGATGCTCTCTATAAAACATGTACATCTCAGTAATAGACTAGATTAATAGTAAACCAACTCAATAGTATGTCTACATGGGTATCTATAGCTTTCTAATCCATTGCCTTGTTTTTCTCTATAGACTATCTCTAGATTAGTAGATAACTTTGTTCTCTCTCTTCATTTAATCTCTTTCAAGTAAGAAAATATGCTGACATGGATCTCTTATAGGGAGCCTATAGATAACCATTGCGGGTGTCCTTACAATTACACAGCCTAGTTTCACGCTTCACACACTTCCATGGGTAACGAAGTACAGAAGCCCTACAGCAGAGAGCGCCCGGACATGGAGCCCCAGTTCCAGTTGTCGCTGATGAGAGCACAAGAAATCAATCAATCAAAGCATGCAAAGCAACACAGTCACTCTGTCCTCTCTCCATCAATCAATGCTCACCCAGCTCACCTCACCTCACTCTCCTGCTCCTCCTCTTCACTCGCTTCGCCTCCGTCTCGTCGCGATCCCACCTGAAAACTCTCGCCATGACCACCGACCTCCTCCTCCTCCTGCTGCTTCTGTCGTCATCCCGCCTCGCCCTCGCCGCCGCGTTCGGCGTCTGGATCAATGGCGCCGCCTCCTCGTCGCCGCAGAGCCAGGAGTACGAGGCGCTGCAGGCGCTGAAGGCGGCGGTGGTGGAGGACCCGCGCGGCGCGCTGGCGTCGTGGCAGGGGCCCAACGTGTGCGCGTACAGGGGGGTGTACTGCTCGGCGCCGCCCGACGACGCCGCCGCGTCGGGCGCGGTGGTCGCCGGCATCGACCTCAACCGCGCCAACCTGAGGGGGACGCTCCCGGCGGCGGTGTCCCTCCTCGCCCACCTCACGTTCCTCCACCTCAACAGCAACCGCCTCGCCGGCCAGCCCCCCGACTCGCTCCGCGACCTCCAGTACCTCACCGAGCTCGACCTCAGCAACAACCTCTTCTCCGGCCCGTTCCCGGCGGCGGCGCTGCTCATCCCGTCGCTCGTCTACCTCGACCTCCGCTTCAACGCCTTCTCCGGCGGGATCCCCGCCGAGGCCTTCGCCAAGAGCAGCCTCGACGCGCTCTTCCTCAACAACAACCAGTTCGACGGCGAGATCCCGGAGACGCTCTGGTCGTCTCCGGCGACGGTGATCACGCTCGCGAACAACCGCCTCACCGGCCCCGTCCCGTCGGCGTACGGCTACGGCGGCCGCGTCCGGGAGGTGCTGTTCCTCAACAACAAGCTCACCGGCTGCATTCCGGAGGAGCTCGGGTTCTTGCCCACCATCGAGGTGCTCGACCTGAGCTACAACTCGCTCTCCGGCCACCTCCCGCCCACGCTGTCCTGCCTCGCCGGCATCGAGGTGCTCAACATCGCGCACAACCAGTTCACCGGCGAGCTCCCGGACCTCGTCTGCGACCTCAAGCGGATCACCAACCTGTCCGTCTCCTTCAACTTCTTCTCCGGCATCAGCCAGCACTGCAACCGCCTCGCCGGCCGCAGCGTGTTCGACTTCGTCGGCAACTGCGTCCCCGGCCGCGGCCTGCAGCGCCCGCCGCCGGAGTGCGACGGCGGCCCGGGCGACGGCGGCCTCAGCTGCCTGCGCAGCATCCCCGTCACCCGCCCCGTCCCCTGCGCCCAGGCCTCCGTCTCCGTCGGCGTCGGCGTCATCGTCGGCGGCGCGATGCCATCGTTCGGCGCCGGCGGCGTGGTCACGGTCACCGTGCCATGAACGAACGATCAACCGATTAAACTGTATTTTTTGTTCTCCCTCTTTTTTTTTGTCCACGAAATTTAATCCCATGGACCATTAGCCCATTGCCATCTCATCACTAATTACTAATCAATCGATTGGCTGCTTAAGAATTCGAGTGGCTAATTAAGAACATTTTTGGCTTTTGAGCTGGAGGGAGAGAGGTGTTAATGGCGCCATGAATACGAGGGGTGGCGCCAACTGCTAACGACTTCCTCCTCACCCCGTGCAGCCGCGGCCATGTGATGTGCTGCTGCAGCTGCACAGCTTGCAGAAATGCAGTGTACTGCTGTACTGTTTACCTGCTTACTACTCCTGCCCTGGTATGGTCTCTGGAGTTTGGATCGATCCGCCATTTTCACCTTGGAGAAAATTGGTCCCTGCACCTGTGAATTTTCGTGTTCAAACGAGTGATTATTTGTCTTATTTTAATTTTTTTATGATTAATATTTTTTATTGTCATTAGATGATAAAACATAAATAATATTTTATACGTCATTTATTTTTTAATTTTTTTTCATAAACTTTTTAAATAAGACGGACAATCAAAAGCTGTATACGGAAACCGGTAACTGCACTTAAAATGGGACAGAGGTAGTACTACTATCCTGTCTCAAAATATATATATAAAAAATGATCGGATATGATATATTATAGTATCATGAATCTGAATAGACGCATTCAAATTCGTCGTAGTGTCACATATATCACATTCGACTTGTATTTTGGGTTGGAAAGAGTACAAGATCAGAAGTTACTCTTGTGTGAACCAAAAATATGGAATCCAATATTTGTTGCTCCGGTTAATATTTAATACTCCCTTCGTCCTAAATTACACGGCGTCCTTATTTTGTTTTAGAAAAAAATAAACTCGTTAACTTTTGATTAATGATTATACTAAAATTATTTATGTTAAGTATTATATATGGAGTATGCTATATCACTGTATTCGTGTCTTAAAAATTTTCATGTGATATTAATTTTATAGTTGTTGATAATATAATGTGAAATAAAATAATAGTTCATTGAAAACTATATGAAAAATTATATGCCTTATAATTTGGAACAAATGGAGTACTCCCTTGGTATTTAGAAACTACTTAGTTTGTCCATAAATATAAGGATTTAGGGTATAAATATAAGAGGTTTTGATGTACTACTTTCTCAATACACCTGACCATTATATTTATTACCATTATTTACTCTAATAAATAGTAACACTTCAATAAATATCACTCAAGATTGTAATTGCTCTTATCTCCTTGACCAAGGTTTTTTTTATTGTTTCGCTAATAATTTGTAGTACACAAATTAATAAGGTAATAATAAACGTTTCTTGAGTGACAAATACTACAGGTTTTACAACATCGGGCCAATACATTTTAAGTGTCATTTCAAATTATCTTTTTACTGCACTAAATTTTCTAGATGTGTTTGCTACAGCTAGCTCGCTCCGCCCGGTGCCGTGTGGCGAGAAGGAGAAAGAGAAGAGATGAAGGAGAGGAGAAAATGAGAATGAGAATGACATGTGGATCTACATGAGCTCCACTATTCTTTTATTATTTTTAGTGTAACTGACCTATGGGTCTACTATTTTTATATATTTTTGGACTGAATTGCCACGTAGGTGTCATGTCAATGCCATATGGAACAAAGAACTAGTCAAAATAGCAACGTAGATGTCACATCAGTTAAAACTGAGAAAAATGCCGCCGAGAGACCTAATTTTCACTAGTTTTGTAAGCTGGGAAATACATTATATCTAGTTTTATAATTCAAGGACGAATTTGAAATTCGGTGACAAGATGAGGTGCCTCCGGTGTACTTTTTACCTCGGATCGCAAAAGTGACCCATGTTTTTGGTGGGCCTTTGTGGGCTTTCCAAAAGCCTGTCTCAAGCGAGCCCAACTTTGGTGGGCCGAATTGTGTTTAGGGAAGTTGTGCGGCCCATCACGGATTGGCCCATTATACTGCAACTAGGCCATTCAGAGCTTCGGATCCATGGCCGGCGAGCCCAGCTCTACGCCGGCGGCGGCGACGGCGAGGACCACGTGACGTGCGGATCAGCTCGGAGGCAACGGCGATCCATCTCTTCTCTCCCCCCTCACGATTCAGAGGCTCAACCGAGCGGCGAACGGGAGCGCTCGACGGCGAGGTGCGCGCACGCGAATCCAGTTCCCCTAGAGGTCGCAACTACGCCTCCACAGTGTTCCTAATTTTCTTGATTTTTCTGTCACCTACTAGTTTGTTGATCTGCTTAATTTGTTTGTCACATGCTAGTTTTTTTGCAACTATCGGTGCTTATCGATTTAGCGATTCTTGGAGACTTGGTATCTTTTTGTGTTGACTCGCTGGTGTTAGGAGTGATGCTCTCTAGCTGCTCGATGAAATGCCTGATAAAAGCATCCTGTCATGCCATGCCAATACATCTATCAACATTTATTCTCACGATTTGTTCTTCTTTGCTAATGTACCTATCACCATCGATTTGCATGCAGTAGGACCATCGGATATATTAGATTAATGGTGAATGGCGTAATGATTTTATTTTACAAAGTATTGAACAAGATTGCGAGTGGCTTGATGAGTTCATTATTCTTTCCGATTTCTTCTGGGTTTCTAGAGTCATGCAGGGGGCGCGCGTTAATCTGAAGGGGTGGCAACAGGCAGCGGTTGCATTTGGTTCTGCATTTGGGGCATTGCTTGACCCTAGAAGAGCTGATCTGATAGCTACTCTTGGGGAGACTACTGGGAAGCCAGCATTTCACCGTGTGCTTCAGCGGATGAGGAACAGTGCTGAAGGCAGGGTAAACTCATGCTACCCTCTATTTCCTAAAGGGTGACGTTATGCCGATGCATCCATTTGTTGTGCTTGACCATCTCTTTATAGCCTTTTTTACTAGCATATTCTGTAAATAATATACATATATACTCAGCTTCTGAAACAGCAACAGTTTCTCGGTCAACAAATGCTAAGGACTGTATGATGTAGATTTTTTGTGTGAAGTAGCATTATCCTTTTTACTTGGTTGTTTCAGGGAGCAAATGTTATCCTGAAAAATGGAATTTAAGGTGTAGGTCTTCTAGCGAATTATTTTTCGTATGTTGTCCATCTTTTTGTTGTTTGTTTGTTCTGTTATGCATTTTACTCTCCAGAATATGTTCCTTATTTGGCTGCAGTATAAGTTTACCCATTTAGTGAACAATAAATTTAAACCTGCTATTGCTATACTTGATGCAATTTTCCTTCTTATTACATCACTGCCATGCAATTTGCAAGTACATAGCAACACATGCCAACTGAAAATGTGTACCCAACTCTGTGGACTTTTTTTCCCAACTGACTTAACTAAGATAATATTCCTGCAGGATGTTCTCCTGGAGCGTCCTCGAGTTATATCCACGCAGGTTTCTCATGCCTGGGACATGCCTCAGAACACATTTGGTGCAGCATATGCTCAGTTCATGGGATCAAGGAACTTCTCACCAGATGACCGCCCACCTGTCCGTTTCATTGACACAGATGAGCTTGCGTATGTTGCGACCCGTGCCCGTGAAGTCCATGACTTTTGGCATGTGCTGTTCGGCCTTCCTACGAACCTGATTGGAGAGACTGCCCTTAAGGTCATTGAGTTTGAACAGATGTTCCTTCCTATGTGCATGCTTTCAGTCGTTGGGGGCTCTGCAAGGTTCAATGAGAAACAAAGGACACTGTTTTTCCAGCATTATTTCCCATGGGCTTCAAAAGCTGGTCTTAAGTGCACAGATCTTATGTCTGTGTACTATGAGAAGCATTTTCATGAAGATTTGGAGGAAGTGAGGAGGAACTGGGGAATTATACCGTGCCCTAATCCCAAAAGGAGCAGTGTTTAGACTTTTAGATCGGTACATTTTGCATGAAAGATGTATGAACTTGGTATTTAGCTTTGTCTATGTTAGTATTAGCTCTTTCCTTTGAAGAATAATAGAAAGAGTTATGCTACTGATACCTAAAAAAAACTAGTAATTCTCTGTAATTTAGCATAGCAACTAAGCTTGCAATGTCAATGTTCCCTTTAACAATAGTGTAGATGAGTTACTTACGTGTTTATGTGTAATACTAGTTGTTTTGCTATGGATAGAAGAAAATGTATTATAATAATATCTAAAATAAAATTATACTAGCAAAAGTGCCCGTATGTTGCACCGGGTGATTACGGAGTGTGTATATTGACCAAAAGTGTTGTTTGGTTTAGAAAAAGTGCCCGTGCGTTGCAACGAGAAACATACAGATCAGAAAAATATGCAATTAATTAAAATACAAACACATTCAATAACTATAATTATAAATGCTTCTGGAAAAAATGAAGTACTAAAAATGAACTTCTTTTCTTTTTCTTCGGCCTGAGGGACCAAAAATAGACTTCTTTCTGGCCCTTGCCAGTCAGCCCAGGCCTTTTTCGCTCACGCGGGCGCACTTCCCCTCCCTAGGCCGCAACCTGGGCTTGGGCTAGAAAAGTGGCCTCGCTCTCGATCCCTCTTGGGCCGATTTCGGCCCGGCCGACGCCGGCCGTCTGATCTCTAGGGTTTTGATCGGACGGCCGAGCGTCGAGATCGGGGAAACAAAACCCCCTCTGGGTTTGGTGTGAACTTCTGTGATGTATGTTGGTATTGTTGTTGTTCTTGGATGATTTTGTTATTGTTGTTGTTCTTGGATGTGGTGTATGTCGTCGTTGTTCTTGGATGATTGTGGTTGATTTTGGAGGCAAAGAGTGATTGATTTTTTTTGGGCGACGGACGAAACCGGACTGAAAAAGGCAGAGTTGTTGATTTTTTTTGGGGGCGATGGACGAAATCGGACTGAAAACGGATGGACCAATCGGACTGTGACGATAGGAAAAATACAAATATTTATATTATTAGTTATATATATAGATATAGATTTACTATATGGAATATTCACCTCAATTTGATTTTAAGGGTATGTTCAGATTGGTGCTAAAATAAATCTTATTAAAATTTGGCAACTTTAAAATTTTGATAAATTAGCAATATCGCCAAATTTTCATAGGATTGTCGTACATATGCTGAGGAAGAGACCTAGACATGACCGAACCGTGTCATGCCTGACCGAGCCAAATCTCCGTGCCATTAGGCTATGGGCCATTAGGCAAGCGGTTCGTCGTGAAGTCGTGATGGCGAGGGATGGAGATGGGCAGATGGCCTGTACCCCACATGTTGTAGCTGCAGCCGCATGCACTTGCCCGACACTACCATGGCTGCCGCACGGCACCGGCCATGTACTCCTTGCTTTGCTCACAAAACGTACGTATTCCCGGCCGCAACAGCATGGTCAAATTGGTGCCGACGCGACGGTAAGGCCATGTACAGTGCGTATCCTCAAACTATAGCCTCGCTCACGCCGCCCGCCGCCCGTTCACGAGCCATGCCCTTGGAGGGAGGCACGACCCTCACGAGGGAAACACGCGCCTCTACCTCCTCCAATTCCCTTTTCTTGAGGCCGAGGCGAATAAAAGGAGGGGCGACGAAGAAAAAGAGAATAGAGAGAGGGGGAGAAGAGAAGAGAGGGGAACACCTAGTGTAGACTTTTGGGTTGGGACACCCACTATGAGCTTGAGTACTTTTATTCAATTGCTTCAGATTTTGAGAAGCCTATTTAGAATATCCTCCATTGGAAGATGAGTGCCCCAGAGTGTCCTCAGTTAGTGAGAGCACTCTAAGAATGGCTTTGATTGTACATGCCCTAATTAACTCCCGTCTGTTGGTGGTGGTGGTGGGGTTCGTAGATGATCTTGTATGGGGCACGTATGAGGCACCGGAGCAACACGTACGTGGCCTCGTTGGGGGCGATCTCAACAGGGGGATAGCCGTGTTGTTGTATGTATGCGTACGTTAGCTGTCGACGGCTTGCAACACCCTGACTACATGTACACATATATAGCTAAAGAAAGTTCGCTTCTTCTTCAGTGGCGCCCGCGTTGAGCTGCTACTGCATCTCATCACCAGCTAGCTCTGTCTCTTCAATAGTGAAGGCTTGTAGGCAGGAGCGCGCACGGTACAGTCTCATGCGTGGCGAATGGCTCGCCACCTTGCACAAGCTCCAACCACCACCGCCGTCGATGGCACCCCCGTCGCATGCCAGTTAGCGCCATCTTTACCCCGTCAGGTGCTCTCCCTACTCCCTCACCTCGCCTCCTCCTGCTGCATTAATTCCCGGGAAAGAGGGGAGAGACAGAGAGAGACGGGGAAGAAAGGAGAGAGAGGGGAGGAAGGAGAAGGTCAACCTCACTGGCTCCTTTGCGTCCCTCCTCTTCTTCTCTGTCATGGACCACCGGAGTCCACCTTGTCTCCGACCTACCATATTTTAGTACTTTTTTTTAACTATGATGTCACATTAGCAAAACCAATCATCTATACTGTCATGGGAACTGACTTAAATGATTTTGCTGGTGAAGATTTCTGGCACCGTGCTTTAGGGATATCGATTAAAGACAACATAAAGACGAGGGAAGATAACTGGACTTATTCCAGCTACCAATAGTGTAGGCCTGCCTGCCGATTCTTCCCTACGTGCTCTGCATGTACACAGGCCCTTGCTGGCCCATATATAAAAGGTGCGATGTGGCTGCCATATGTAGCACTATACCAGGCTCGATGGAGACGGGAATAGATTTTAAGGATCCCTTAATTAGGTCAGTTTTCTTTAAATATAATGTAAATGATTACGAACAATTTCAAAAAAATAATGATGTAGTGTACAAGTGACATCAATCACTTAAAAATTCAAGTTAAAAAAATCTATAAAATCGTCACACATTTGAGCATGAATAGTACCGGTACTGTTAATATATTGGATTTGTCTTTTTGATGTGCGAGTTAAGTTTAGATTTGATTAATTGGTACTTTATATAAGTTTGAACCTTTTCCTGTAGTTTTTAATTTTTTTATATGAATTCTAAGTTTATTTCACGTAATTTTATAAATTTTATATGTTGGCATAATTGATTATTCAACCATTGAAGAGTGATAAGTAATAGCTAATAGGAACGTGATGAAACCATTAAAATATTCTGTAGGGATGAGAAAAGTAACTGAAAATTTTGAAAATTTAATTTAGACGCCTAACACTACTAAAAATAAATCCAATCAACTTGGAACAAGTTCAATGGAACAAAACCCATCAATTCCATTATTACTCGAAATAAATACAACAAGCTTGCGATCAACAGTACATTGATCATCAACTAATGACCAACTGCATGCCACACAAGCGTTATTACAAACAGTTCATGGCCTTAAGCAAAGTACGATGAAACACACGCCAATTACAACGTACGGATTCATGGATAGACAGCTAGTTAATTACTACCTCCGTCCCAAAATAAGTGCAGCCGTGGATATCCGTGCCCAACGTTTGATCATCCGTCTTATTTAAAAAATTTGTGAAAAATTTGAAAATATTTAGTCACACATAAAATACTATTCATGTTTTATCATCTAATAGCAATAAAATATACTAATAAAAAAATTACAAATAAAACAAACGGTCAAACGTTGAACGTGAATAGTGTAAAACTGCACTTATTTTGAGACGGAGGAAGTAGCTAGCCAGCCAGCAATGGCGTCTCCTCCGGCCGGTGAGCAATGCAAGCTTGTTGACGTAGTACACATCGGATTGGAAAGCTTGAAGGTGCGGGCTCCCGCCGCCGGGCCGAGGAGGTCGCTCCACTGGTCACCGATGTTACCGACAATGGCATAGCCATCGCTCACCAGCTTATGCCGCTCACCGCTCTTGAACGCCTCGATGGAGAGACCCCCCGTCGGCTGAAGCACCAGCTTCTCCCACCCGGAGTAGCCCTGTTGGGAAAGGTTGCGGATGGTGACGGCCCTCTGGTTCTCGGTGCGGACTGTCAGGAACACCGGTTTAATGCCGAGCTCGAGCAGCCGTCGGTAAAGTCGTAGCGTCCCTGCTAGCGCCGGTGCGGTCCCCTGCTCCACGTATTGGAGGAAGCTCCTATTGTCGTACGGCTGGGCTCTGTAAAATGGATAATATATATACCGGCCGTTTCAAAAATGTGTAAGCATGTAGTATTAGCAAAAAATATATTACACATGTTCAACTTTTTTGTTTTATGCAAAATATTTTAAGCAACTAAAATTGTGCCTATTTTACTACATAATGTCTAAAAAAACTTTTATATTTTTTTACTACCGGAAAGAGTATTTTAGTCATCACTACCTCTTATGATGAACGGGCATCAAACAATTGCAAGAGGTATTCATTCATTACTAGAAATATGAGCGCGGCGCCACGCCGCGCACGTTAATATCGACGTGGTTAGAACCACACATAATCAATGTTAATTTGACAACGTGGAGTGGAATATTATATACATGTAAATTTGGTTTAACATCAGTTTATTATATGGGCCCCCTTTTTTAAGAATTGTTAGTTTTTTTGCCATCTAAAAGTGGATAAAAAATGGTATAATTTTGGAAAACAAGCGGTAACACGCAAGAACAGCAGAGATTGGTTTGAAAACTATAATTTAGTCGTATATGGGTTTATAAATGATAAACAACAGGTTTACTATGCAGACCAAGTACTAAACGAATTTACAGCGAGTTGTTAATACTTGTATAAGGGTCTGCACATTTATCCATTACTTTTTCCATTACATAATGTAAGTTATTCTAGCATATTACTTTTTTCATTACATAATGTAAGTTATTCTAGCATTTTACATATCATTGTGAATGTTACTGAATTTAGACGCATATATATATCTATATTCACTAATATCCATATGGATGTAGAAAATGCTAGAATGACTTAGGGTGCGTTCGTTTCTGGGGGATTGGGTGAGAAAGCCCATCGTATGCCGCACGCACGCTTTCCAAACTACTAAACGGTGCATTTTTTGCAAAAATTTTCTATAGGAAAGTTGCTTTAAAAATCATATTAATCTATTTTTAAAATTTAAAATAGTTGATACTCAATTAATCATGCGCTAATGACTCACATCGTTTTGCGTATCTTCCCAATCTTATTAATCCCCTTCTGCTCAAACTCACCCTTACATTACGAAAGGGAGCAAGTATATGGTTATTGGTAAGGATTTATAGGGAGGCTAAGGTCTAGTTCAATCTGTGAAGAGTATAAGTCAGCAGCCTATATACGTGTTGGAAAGTTACTTTATCAGTATGGTATTATCGTGCCTTAATTCTGGGCTTTGGAACATATGGTACTGCGTGGGGCCGGTAGAGTTAATATTAGGGTGTGTTTCGTGTACTCTCATGGTACCAAAACACAACAGAGCATTTACGGCAAGAGTAGTCAGGACCACCATAGTAAGATCGACCAGAATACGCAGCTAAAGAAAAAAGAATAAAAATAAATAAATAGCCATCAGAAAAAAAGGTAGAAGGAGGAAGACGGAAACAAATACGATAAATGGAGTATAAGGGAAAAAAGCACGAGAGGAAACAAACCTTTCAAATGGCATATATAATCGGTGGAAAAAACAACATATCCAACAGGGAAAGAAGGATTAGAAGTAGGAACTGTAAACGAGGAAGAAAAAAAAAAGTTTTCACACCGAGCACGGGAGGAAGAAACTAAGAATAAACAAAGAGCAGCAGAGAAAACAAGGCTCAACATGGGAGCAAATAATCAAAGAAACGATAAAAAAGATAAGATAATGAGAAAGAACCAATCTGGTGAAGCAAACAACCGCCGACGTAAGATCGCCAATTTCCTTTTCCTTCGATTCACCAAAGACTGGTACGAAGGACCAGACTTGAACGATGCAGCTTAAAAAAAAGTAGCATGATCAAACTATCTAAAAAGTAGAGGGTAAACACAAATTTAAATCTAATGAGTATCGAAAAGCATAGCGCGCTAATCGTACAGTAAAAAATGCAACGGAAGAAGTCATGTTTAAATTTGGGTCAAAAGGAGAATAAAAATGAATATGGTAACCAATGAAACTGAAATTACCAGTTTGTCGTGTCAGTTCACATGCTGAGCGCGAGGAAAAACTCCTACCACGAAGGATTGCAGCACGGCGAGCTCTAGCAGCTGATGCAGACGGCATAAACCAATACGGCCAAGCAAGTATACCCAGTGCTTAATACGATTTGGCAAGTAAAAACAATAAACACATAAGTTTACAGAAACAAGGAGGCGTACAATCATCAGAAAATTAGCACAGTATAATTGAAAGAACAGAGCAAGCGTCGGGAACGGGAGGAGAAAATAACAAAGAAAAGACAAACAACAAAGACAAGCACCTTGAACGAACGGATCGCAGAGAGAACAGAGGAGCTATCACTAATGCAGAGAGGAACAATATAAGGGGAGGAGCAAGAAGAGACAACAAGCAAGAGCATGGACACGCATAAAACAAACAGCAGGCATGCAAGCTGACACCTAGGCCATTAAACAGTGAATCAAATCGCCAGCAACCTCTGTTAACAGTAAATACCAAAAGAGGTCGGGACACATCCGGAAGAATACAACGCATGGGACAACAAAGTCAACTTACAGAAAGAACAAACGGACAGCAAGGTCGACAAGAAACACCAGCTGTTTTTTTACCACTAATAACATATTAAAGACTAATCGAGCAATCAACTTGAAAAATTACAAGGCATCACAGCAACCTACATCACCCAAAGGGCGAAAAATACCGCTTACAAACGGAAGTTAGGCAGGTTAAAATAAATATGCCCATGTGTGTACGTAGTTAGTACACATTTTTTTTACCCCTACAAACAGCATTTTACATTTTACCAACTACGTAAATCTGTAACACTGAAACCATATTTGGAAAATAGATTAACATACCGCACACAACAGCAAAGAGGGCAACTCGTCATACACTGACACCTGATGAAAAAGGGAGATTTTTACAAGCGGTAATACATATCATCAATCAAGGTTAAGCAAGGGGATTTGGGAAATTTAACAAGCACAAAGTAAATCTAGGTGTTATAAAACCGGCCCCGAAATCACATCGGAAACCAAATACGGAAGAAAACGCCATAGGAGATCCAAACATGATGACAACACCGAGACACGATATTTGATAACGGAGTTCAGCCGAGGCCTACATCTCCGGGGCACTGATTACGGGCGCTTCTCCCCGATCCAGCATATTACAGCGTATGAGAGTTACAATGACTCACGGTCGGTCGCTGCCGGTAGCTGCTCCCTCTCGCTATGCTAAGTCACCATGCGGTTACAACAGGCACGCTCCTCTATTTATGAGAGAACCTAGGATAGAGTCCGACTCTTACCCTAGTCCTAATACCTATTACAACTTCAAGTCCAAAACTGTAACCGACTACGTACACATATTCGATATAAACTCTAACAAACTCCACCTTGGCGAATATGCCATGCCAACCTGAATTTGTTACTTGCTCGAACCTCCGTGTACCCGGACTTGAGTTGGTCATTTTTCGCTGCTCAGGCCGAGCTGCCCCGACAAACCTCCATCAGGCTCACCGTAAACAAGAGACTCCCGCTATCCCGGTAACTTCTTCCTCTCGACTCCACCTGCAGCAGTGCTACACCTTCTCTCATATCACCATAGTTGTCTTGCCAAGCGAAATTGAATTCCTTTCTAGCTGTCACATCATAGACTCCCCGAAGACCATGTTCACCTCCATCTTCCGTCTTAAATTTGACTTGATCTAATCCATGGCCAGATAACCGATGTCATCACCAAATAGATAAATTGAACTTACTAGACATGAAGAGAACCTTTCTTGCTTGTTGTCTTATGAACTGAGCTAAAAAATCCAATATCCACGCTTCTCCGTATCTGTAGACTGAGTATCCGATAATTTGAGAAAATCACCGTTGCGTTGAATCATCTGAAGAACTTATTATCATAGAGCTTGCTCTTTCTCTTCAGTGATGCAGATTCCATATATCCCCATCATGCAAACCCGCAGATTCTGGATATACCCTGTATTGCCAAACAGACCGTTGACACCCTCAACGATTTTCCCCCGCTGTTACCCGGGATCTTCTTCACGCACCTTTGCCACACCCCTGCACCACCGCAGCCTTGCCTTCGAATCATAATGCAGAAGCCCTGATGCACAGTTATTTGCTGTCAATTCCAGCCACCTAGCCTCCGTGCTGATCTCCACGTCCATTGCGACTCCGAGTTGATAAACAACTCTGCAACCGTGTCGATCTCCACCAGCTACGCAAACTGCACATCCTCTGCAACCTGATTCCAATACCAATTTGCTGCTCCGTGCATGGACCTACACACAATATGCCCATGGACTTCCCTGCCGCATGCATGCACATATCCAGAGCCACCACGAAAACGAGCCTGCATGCACATGCATCCAATTAACTACTCCATGCATGTAACCATGCAATTAATTAATTGATGTCTTCATGCTTGACTTGTTCTTCGTGTCTGATTATGATCCATGGCAAAAAATCCAAACGGCTCCTATTGCTTGGTCCAATTTTATTGTGTTGCTCCTGTGTGCACCGCCACCGCCTCCTCTGACCGGAGCCGGCCCGACGAACTACGCCAGCACCTGCACGACGACTACACCAAGCCGTGGTCCTACCGCTCATAATTCGTTGCCCAAACCACCGCCGCCAAGAAATCGGGACCGATCTCTTCATCGCTTTGGTTGTTTGATTCGATTGCAATCTCTGCAATCCCGTGGATTCCTCTTGCTGCTTTACAGGGACAAATTGAGCCCGATTCTATTTCCAAATCGAATTCTCCTCCGATCCCCTTTCGTGTCTGACGCGGTATCCTTCTTGATCTCTTTTTGTTGTGTGTATTGAAGCCGAGCTCGTGCTCAACTCCTTTTCTACCACGGCCCCCTTCGAGTCGAGTCCTGCATGAACCCAAATCGGGTCTGCTACCACCAGCACCGCTTCTGTCTCCGTCGTCGGCTTGGCCTCGCACGTCGCTACGACCCTGACGTCCAAGCTTCACGTACCCCCAGCGATATCCTCGCTCCAAGAGCAAGCACACACAGGACATAGCATGACCACCGACATCGTCAATGACTTCCGCTGCCAATCTGCGTCGACCCTATCCTGTCCTCTGTAATCCATTGCATGTACGTCTCTAAGTAGCAATCCTCCATGCAGTACCTTGCCGTCAACACCTCCAAAACAGCCTCTAGGAACCATCCGCTCCGACTTCCGATTGAACGCCATCAATCTAGTCAAGAGCCGAAGCCGACAAGTCACATGCCGTCTTCCCAGCCGCCGAACGACCTGAGCGCTACGTCTAGCCGTCTCCCTGTCGAACGCAGCTCATCGAAAGGCCCAGGTCACCTCGCCCAGAGTGTTCGATTCCACCAACCGAGAACGCCAATCGCCTCCAGCTTCAATCAACCCCGAGCGTGTGGCCACACGTCTCCCTGTTGAGAGTAGCTCACCGGAAAGTTCGAGCCACCCACCCGAAGTGTCCGACCCATCGATTGGATCGCCAATCGCTTCCGCCGCCATCAACCCGAGCACCACGTTTAGTCATCTCCCTGTTGATTGCAGCCATCGAATGGTTCAGACAGCCACCTGAAGTGTCCGATTCCACCGATCAAAATTCCTTTGATCGCCGCCGTGCTCCACCTTGCGTCCATGTCCGTCCCTGGACACCCTGTGTAGCCGTCGCGGCGTGGAGCACCTCCCTCGTACCTCTACTATGGATCTCCCACAGGCTTTGGTACCACTTGTTATAAAACCGGCCCCGAAATCACATCGGAAACCAAACGCGGAAGAAAACGCTATAGGAGATCCAAACATGATGACGACACCGAGGCACGATATTTGATAACGGAGTTCAGCCGAGGCCTACATCTCCAGGGCACTGATTACGGGCACTCCTCCCCGATCCAGCATATTACAGCGCATCAGAGTTACAACGACTCACGGTCGGTCGCTGCCGGCAGCCGCTCCCTCTCGCTATGCTAAGTCACCATGCGGTTACAACAGGTACGCTTCTCTATTTATGAGAGAAACTAGGATAGAGTCCGACTCTTAGCCTAGTCCTAATACCTATTACAACTCTAAGTCCAAAACTGTAACTGACTACGTACACATATTCGACACAAACTCTAATACTAGGTAGGAAAAAGTAAACAGCAAATAAATTGAAAAGAGGGCCAAAACCTGCGTACCGTAGTGCTTGGTACCATGAAATACAAAAAAAAAAAACAAAGAATTCGGCAAGTAACGATGTACAGAGCGTATAGCCGTGCTGCTCCTTCTTCTCCATACACCCCCACAGTAAAATTTCCACCATCTCTCTCCATCGTGGAGCCATTGGAACCGGCATATTGGGGGCATCCCCCCGATCAAAATCTGTCCGGCGAGCAGGAACTCCCCGACGGCATCGGGATAGAGCGGCTGACGTGGACGCGGTTCAACACCTCCGACAGAGCGGGGACGGCGGCGTCCGTGCAGCACAACACCCACGCAGATCCCACAGAGCTACCCCTCATCCTAATCGCAATCCCCGGCCAGGAACGGGCAAATCCCATCCCCCATCGTCGGCACCTCCTCCGGTCAGCAAACACAACGGAAGGGAACACATCCAAGATCGAAGGAAAAAAAAGCAGTCACAACAGAGGGGAAAAGAGACTGAACCGAGTGATGAACAAATACAGCAAGAAAGAACAAAGAACAACACAACCCCAATGTGGACTAACCTCGACCGATTCAGGAAGGGAAGATGGGAAGCAGCAAGGGGCGCCGACAAAAGCAACAGGACAGGCGAGCTCGTACGAGGAAACCACCGGCGACGGGGAGACGACCAATCCGAAGGGCACAAGAAAGAAGAAAGGGTCAACGAGGGCCCCATACAGAGACGGCCGGCAGGGGAAAATCGCACCTCCATACCCAACACAAGAACAAACCACAAACACACCCCAAAAACAGAATTTTGCCTTCTTCACATTCAATTTACATAAAAGCTAAGGGCCTAAACAGAAAATCACAAAGACACAGAGTACAGAATAGATAGACCGATGTGAAATAATAGAACACACAAGTGGACCAAAACAAGAAATGGCAACATGCCACGCGCCATTCAACGCGCCAGCCAACCGGAAATAGCCGTCACTGTGACCGGCATCCAAACCCCAAATGCATGAACTAATTACCTGATCAACCGGCGTAATTAAGCAGGCAACCGGCGCACCGGCAAATCATAAACGCGCAGGTTAGGCCGAGGAGCAGAGAACAGTAAACGGAGACGTGTAAAAACAATCAGATAGCCAGAAAAAAACCAAAATCACGAGAAAAACGGTGGGGTTAGGGGAGCTATTGATTGATGATTTATGCCCCCTAATGTATAAACGTTGTTATATACATTTGTCCCATGAATATGGTATACATGATGAGGCCCCCTCTTTGTACTCTTCTGTAACAGTTTCAAGTTACTATATGGTATACTCC